TTAGTTAGACTACAAGAAGTGACTTGTCAAGACTAAGGATCTCCTCAGCCTTGACTTCTATATATTTTAGATCCTAAGAAGTTTCTTGAAAAGTTTTCATGAGGCTTGGAAACAAAGCAAGCCTAAGATCCTTCTATGGCAACTTCCTAAATCATCTAAAGCCTTTTAGAACCTTTTAGGATCTCCTATGACCTTCTAGAACTTTCTTAGAAAATATTACAATCTTTTGGAATCTTTTAGGATCTACAAAAACTTTCTTAGAACCTTCTAAAATCTCTTAGAACCTTCTAAAATCTTCTAGAAGCTTTTCAAACCTTCTTTAGTTGTACGTCTATAACACCACTGGCTACTTGAAGTACAAATTTAAGTGACTCAAATAGACTCTTTTTTCATTTTGGTGGTAATGAGCATATTGTAGTAGAATTATTTGATTTAGTTCCAACAAAATTTCAATTGTTAATTAAAAGCCAACAACAATCTTTTAGTACACTATCAATGAGGTTTGTTCATAGTTCATAGTGCTTGAAAGAGATAAGAAGGGCATACATATTTAGAATGCATATATCTAGACTTTGCATGCCATGGAATTATATCCACTAAGCATGGTCTAATTGAAAAATTTCACTTTTTTGTCCTAATTGGACTATATAAGATAAAACTCACATATATATATATATATATATATATATATATATATTCCTTCTATTTTCTATCTCTTCTTTTGACTATGTATTTTTATAAGACATTGCCACTTCTTAACTATAAAATCTTACGTCCGGCTATATTTGACTATGTAATGCATGTAATTTATTGCTTTGAAGCTTATATTTGAGAAAACATAAGATTTCTATGTGATGTTGGAGGTTTTGGATGTAGTTATAAACTATAGTAACTTTCTCAAAGGTATTAATTTCTTTAACATTTTACAACAAAATTATTATCTTTATGTATGAATTGGCAACGAAAATTCTTTCTGTGCTAGAATGTTCTCTTGAGCTATTCCAAAACTTCTCTTTTTTTGTTCATAGAGTCTCTTTGATTGATTCCATTTAAACATTTCATTTGCAAGTTATAGTGGGTGATAATTAATAAGATAGTAGCATGCTAATTGAATAATTTGCAATGGTATTATCAATTCTTTGCTTGTGGAACCACTTATGGAATAATAAGGTAACATAAGTTGTCATTTTTTGATTCATTTTCCTTAGAATCTACAAAACTATATTAAATGAATGGAATATTCATTCAAAGTGTATGTCAAAGTATACGATGTTGGTTCCTAAAACCTCTCTTTTAACTACAATTTTTTCATTTGTTTGTAAGGTGATTGCTTTCAAATTGAGATTTTTAGCAATCACTAGATTGTTTTAGGTGGCAATAAGATCCTATAGAACTATACTTTCTATTCAATCGATCAAGTTCTTGCTAGGCCTTTTTACTTTATAATTGGCAGTATGATATAGAGGTGGGATTTCAATCTTATAGATAAAAGTTATGAATATTGCTAAATTATCTAACATTAGAATAAATATAATATGCCATCTAATTTAATTAGTCCTTGATAGATTTGTAGTACATGTTGCATACTTTTCTTATCTTTGTGTGGACCTTAGAATCCACACAAAGATAACAAAAGTATATTAGAATGTTTGATTAATTTGTTAATATGTTTGTTAATCTTACTTCTTATTTAATTAGTAGAAGATCTGATAAGAAAACATTATCTTGTCTCATATTCCATTCATTCTTTGCTTCATAAAATTCATTCACATCTAAGAATTCACTTAAGTTTGGTAGCAATTCCTTTCTTCATTTTGTCTCTCAAAGTCTTCATTTTACCCAATCTAGATTTTTTTTTCATTCTAGGCTCAATTTATTGTTTTATCCTTGTAATCAATTGATATCTCATAGTGGAGTTTGACTTTGACATAATAAATATCTAAAACTTATAAATGAATCTATGATATGCCCTAAGATTAGAATCTTTTGACCTCCTTATTTTGTACTAATTATTTCTAATTCTAGTAAGGTAGTTTGTTGTCCTACACTAGATTGTATTCTTAAAGGCAGCCCAATTGATAGAAAGAGAAGGAAGCGAATATCAATACCTTTCTTGTATACATTATACTTGTTGTCTCAAGTTGCCCATTTCTCCATATTCTATATAATATCTCACATTCTTTGGCTAAGTGAGTATCATGGACATATACATTTACTTCAATAATTACTTATATGATTAGTTATAAGTATGTAAATATAGATTAATTTCATAAAGTCTTTTAGTGTAGCTTTCTAGAAGCTTCATAGACACGGTTTTGACTTTAGATGTGTTTATAGGTCAGAAACTTGGCCAACAAGTTTACTACATATTGATAGCTTGTAAAACAAGTTGACTCTACATAATAGCTTGTGGAATAAGTTAACCATGTGGCACATACATAGATAACTTGCCTTGCAAGTTAAGACATGTAGCTAGCAAAGTCAACATATTTTGGAGGTCCTATAGGATATCACCACATAGCTCCTAGTTAAAAGTATATATGGAAGTAAGAATGAAGACTTCTTCATTCATGTCAATGCCATTCTAATTTTTAGTCTTATTTCAAGACTTTCTAATCTTTTTGTTTTTGGCAATAGCCATTCTAATTAATATTATATTATCTTTTGAGTGACTTTTTAGTTCTCTTTAGTGACGCATGAGTGTATCGAGGATTCTCTTTCTTTGAAATTCATGTCCCTGACAATGAACCATAAAAAACAGTACATGCATTAGATTGGTAAGTTATTATAATTGATTTTGATGAATGTCATGTTGGTGGTAATAGGATTGATAGCTCCTATAGTGAGATCAAATAATACTCAAGTTTTGAGCACAATATAAAAATTTGGTCAACACCAATCATATTATCTTTGTATTTTCCTAGTAGTATTTCTAGGTTGTATATAAAATCATGTACACTACTTAAAAATTCATCTAATATTATTTTAAAGATTATCTATACTAGCATCTTTATGCCCACAAGCTTGGTTGGATTGAACCTCAAAACCCGTAGTTGCAAAATACAAATGCTCTATCATGATATATATAAAGTCTACATCAGGATCTAGGTGGCAGCTTTTGCCTTGCTAATCACCTCGAAAAAATAATTTTCTATATCTCAACCTAATTTTAATTCTTCAAATATTTTCTTAGTTAGGGTTTCAATCTAATCTTGCAATAGCTTCAAAGCTTATTTCATTCCTATAAAGTATTCAATAACTACTCTTTTTTAATAATACTCTATTTCAGTTTTGACTTTGGTATCATCAAATATGACTTGCAACACTCTTTTCTTTAATAGAAGCCTTTGTTATTGCAAAACAAACCATCAAGTAGATGCTCATGTAGTATCAAGCAAGTGGAATATATATCTGCAAATTTGTCCATTTGTATTGTTGATTCAACCAATTTCGGCTTCATTCTATCATCTCAAATTTCCTTCTCCGATCTCTTTTTTTCTTTTAATACCAAGAGTGATATTGGGGCATGTACCAACTAGGTTTTTAGTGTCACTGCATATGATGCTGGCAAAGCCATCAACTCCTTTCTTAATGTGTATGCTAGTACTAACTAATAAATATTTGCTTACATACCCACCTCTATTAAAACTGAGGACTTGCGACCCAAAACAAAACCCTAAACTGTCCCACCCTAAATATATGTCCTTGTCATTACAAATTGTATTGTTTGAAGATATTTGCAAACACATCTTGCTATTCTACTGAGATTGGACAAAAAATTATCATAGATCGCAATGTGTGCATTGGCACTAGCTCAGGAGGACTTTTTGTACTGATGTGGAGGAGCTTGCAGGATCTTCTTTGCTGATTACTTCAAATTCCGAGACTCCTGTTTCAAGTAAGCATGAGACAGCCATACTGAATCCTTTATAAAAGTTGCATCAAGGAGATAATAAAATATTTATGAAAACTGCAACAATGCATAATACACACACAGTTTTAGTTTATATTCATAACCATGCATTTTTAGTTAAATTTGCCAAATGCTCTATCAACTAATGTATGCACAATCCAATCATGACCCAACGTATTAAGAAGCACAAAAATGAACTGCCGTAATGTCTCTGTCAAGCATGATAACAGACATGTCGTTCAAAATACCACCAATCTTTATTTATTTTATTTTTTTGTTTGTTTACTTTTAAATTTATTGCTCTGGTATGAGAGCACATGATGCACTTAAAAACCCAATTTATATCGAAATTCAATACGTCAAATTTGAATACAGAATAATATCCTCTTGATTAATTAATTAAGGGGTGGTATGATGCGACACACGAGGCACACCACCCAGTCATGGTGCGATATATCCATATATATATATATATATATACTTTATTATCGAGTTTTCACTTCCTTTAATGTGTGTGTGTGTGTGTTTTTTTTTAATATATATATATATATATATATTCGAGAGAGTACAGAGAAGTACCCTTTTGTGAAAAAGGCAGTTAGTGATGGAAAGCAGCCATCAATCCCCCTCCCCCTTCACATCATCCCATCTGGAGTGAGAGTGTCAGTGCATGCTGTTGGGCGAGGAACAACACAAGGACCAGGGCTGTATGTATATGTGTATAGTATACACCATGGGAATACATATACTCCCTTGCCTCCTTTCCCCCCGTTCCCGATGTAACTATCCAGAGTAAACATCCTCCCTCCTCCCTCCTCATAATGACTGAGAGAGAGGCGGTAACAATATTTGGAAGTACCCAGCCGGCGACACTGTCAGCACACCCCTCCCCTTCTTCCCACCCACCTACCCACCTATCCACCTACCCGTTGCTGCTTGAGCTCTGGTCCGGACCTCTGCAGCAGCAGCACCTCTGGTACCAGGCCCTTCCGGCCGGTATGGGCAGACCAGGCTGGGGTCCAGGTCGGGCCGGGTGGAGCGGCGAGGGGGCAGAGGAACAGGGCGACGAGCGGAGGACAAGCGGCGACGACGAGGCCAGGCCGAGGGAGGGGGAGCTTGCAGCTAGCGACAACAACGACAACAACAACATCATCCAAGACGACGCGAGAAGGGGTAAGCAAGCTGCGGGAAGGAAAGGAAAGGGAAAGAGAAGTGGAGGAAGGGAAGGGGAAGGCAGTCAACAGCGAGCGAGAGAGAACGAGAGAGAGTGCGGTGGCGGAGGAGCGTGTGGGGGCAGCTGCTCCGGCAGGCAGGCAGGCAGTCTTGGTGTGCCTGTTTTGATTTTGTTTTTGCCTTCCATCTTCCAGCCCAGTCTAAAAGGAATCCGGTCCCAGCGGGATTGTGGGGAGCGCGGAGGCGAGGGGGTTGGTGCTGCTGCTGCTCTGGTCCTGCCCATGTGCAATCATCGCCTCCATCATGTCGTCATTCAGGCGATAAACTAACCCGTGGAGATTACTGCTGCTAGCAGCGTCATCAGCTGCTCTTGCTGGCTTCCCTCGTCTTTCTTCTTCTTCTTCTTGGTGCATCTAGGGTTTCGGTGTTGATGAGCGCACGGCATTCACAGCTGAAATTCGGGATTGGGGGGGTATCGGTTCCATTGGTAGGACCTGGTGGGCGGCGGATGTGAATTCCCAGGGTTCCAGAGAAGTGGCGGAGGTGGATTGGTTACGCTGAGTGTCGAGGATTGGTTGAGTAGGAGTTTTTATCGGATGCACTCGAATGCTGGGTGTCTGGTGGCCGGTGAGGGTTGCATTGTGAGCTACCGTTCGGGGTGTTGGTGATTGGACTCGAAATATCGGGGGATTTGAGCTCTGGCGAAAGAGTGAGAGGCGTGGGAGAGTTCGATGGTCACAAGGATAAGGTGCAAGGTTTTATTAGCTTGGAAATACGTGTTTCAGGCTATGGATCATATATGAGGGGCATGGTTGCGGAGTGAGTGGTACGTGCGTTTCCTGGTGGGAATCCTCGTTTCCAGGTGAATTAAGGTTGGACGAAAGCAAGGACTTTCTCGAGCCTCGTGGCTTCTTTCCTTTCAGGACAGGGTTGTGACACATCTTGGTGTTGCCCATGCTGCGAAGTTTGTGCTGCGTGAAGACAATCTGCGTAGGTTGGTTCCAAGACCCTGCTAGCATCGCCTTCATCTTTCTATGTAAACTTACACGCGTGCCATTTCTTGAGACAGAGTGGTCAATTCGTGCCGCCAGATTGAATATTCCAGTTTGCTCTCTGGTTGATAGCATTTTAGGTCAAATGTCAGCCCTCTTTTACAAAGCAGCTTCCGCACCGAAGTTTGAAACGTACTGGTGTAGAAGTCCAGTGCTGGTTCCGAATCCAGACCATACTCTCTTCGTTTTTTTTAATTCTTAGGGGTGCTATAATTTTGGTGTTAGCATATGTCCGTAATGAGTTGATTCTCAGCTTTGTAACGAACCGATTAATTTGGTATGCAATCACTTATTGGTCTATTGTTTTATTAGCCAGGGAACCGTTGTTATGGTATAACTTACGCTAATGCATCTCAGTTGCAACCAAATTTTGTCTGAACAGATCATGTATCAGAATAAGAAGTTTTCAACTACCAGCTTAATGCCCCAGAGGTCTGCAAGTCAGGCGCCAGAGCCTCGAGGATCAAGTGCAGCCGGAGCCTCCACCAATTCGGCCGGCAGTCCTGGTGGGGGCTCAGGAGGTGGTGGCTCAGCAGCCAAGCAGCGATTGCGCTGGACTCCTGAGCTCCATGACCGGTTTGTGGATGCCGTCACCCAATTGGGCGGCCCCGATCGTAAGCTCTCTTTCAGCCCAGCAAACAGTTGGATTGATTCGGAGCGGAGGTGGAGAGGCAAATAGGTGTCGTGGCAATGTTAGTAGTATATGCTAAAATATTCCATTTTCGCTTTACTCCAGACTGGATTCTTACTACACGTGGTCCTTAAGCTCTGCGCTTCCCGTAACCTTCGTAATTTCTCTTTTTTGCCTCCTGGCTGTGCATGTAGTAGAAGCCCAATCCATGTGAATCCTTCTGCACAATATGAGTCTCATCTAGTCGGATGATGAGCTGGCTTCTTATTTCGGCTAATGCAATGTTTAAAATTTTCAACCATAGTGTTGTTTTGTGACTTTTTATTATCTTTCCGAGTCGGGTCCTCTCCCTGCTTATCTGGGATAAGGGGCGAAGAATGCTAGTTGTTTTGTAGAAGAGCCATGATCTTCTGGGTTTTAATGAGTTTTCTTTACCCTCCTACTGAGGTGTAGGCTCTTCTTGATCCCGGATGTATTCGACTATAGTGTAGTATGCATCCCGTCTGTTGTGTGGCTATCACGTTTGTTTATCACTTCCTTTTGCTTTTTATCATAGCAGTAATGCCCAAGTTTTTAAAGAAGTGTCCGATTTGTCAGTGACTTCCATTGCTTTGAGATAAGATATCTTCTACTTTTTTGTTTTTTTGTCTTTTTTAACTACTTGCTCTATTGAAACATTCAGATTTTGCTGGATATCTGATCATTTCGTGGTATGGATCATCTGTCAGGGGCTACTCCTAAAGGCGTCTTAAGAGTCATGGGAGTTCAAGGTCTTACAATTTATCACGTGAAAAGTCACTTGCAGGTATTGCTAATCTTTCCAGTTCCTACTGTTGTCTTACCCTTTTGTGAATTTAAGCACATTAATCTCACTGTATCGTGTGAGTTTTTTTGTGATATTTATAGCTGCACCAGCTAGTTGAGAATGAACTGTTAGTGTGAACGTGTGTATTTTCTTCATGGCTGTTTCGACAGGGTGCTAGTCTGATGTTTTTTGATCGACGATAACGTATGGATAGGAGTCAGTGTGATTCCTGTAAAGATGCTTGACGGGTTTATTATATTTGTTAATCGCCAGTGCTGTGAGGTCTGCTAAGATTATGCGCATTTTTCTGTCTGCAGAAGTATCGTTTGGCAAAGTATATTCCTGAGTCCTTGTCAGATGGTGAGATTTATTCTTTTGTTTACTCTGTTGAAAATGAGCTTTTATGTTTATTGGATCAATTCTCATCAGCAAAACAAGTGCTGACTGGTGATGGGAGATTCATGATTTTGAGGTCGATGTTGCTTCGTGTTTAGCATGTGTGGTAAATGTGCAATGGTTGCGATTTAAATTTGGAAATCATTTTGATGGGATTGACAATGAGGTAATTATGGGCGTTGAAGGGGGTAAGTCAGACAAGAAGAAAAATCAAGCAGATCTGCTGCCAGCCCTGGATGCAACCTCGTAAGATCTCGAAACTTTTGTCTTGTCATGTTAAGTTCAAGTATTGAGAGTAGTAACTGAGAGTGCTATACACTTAATTCAGTATTTGATCATGTCTTGATGGATGGCTAATCAAATTTTCTACTCTTTCAGGGGAATACAAATCACTGAGGCCTTGCGTATGCAAATGGAAGTTCAGAAGCGGCTGCATGAGCAACTAGAGGTTTGTTTTACACCCTAACCACTATCAGAAGTTGCACTCTAGGATATTTCTTACTCCATGGAGTGGTAGATGTGGAATGATAGTATGCTAGGGATCACCTTGGATTCTATTGACTGGCTTTAATTTCATGTATAGGTGCAACGACATCTGCAGCTACGAATTGAAGCACAAGGGAAGTATTTACAAAAGATCATTGAAGAGCAGCAAAGAGTTGGTGCTCTCAATAATGGTGCAAGTACCACTGCTGACACAACAACAGCGCCCACAACAACGGAGGCGACCCAAGGACAGACTGGTTCGGTCGTTGAAACCAAGCCAGCGTTACCCTTAACAAATGAGGCCCCTACTTCAAACAGTGTACCAACTGCGCCAGTGTCTAGCAGCAGTTTGGGACTAACTCAGGCGACCATCCTTACCTCTCAGCAGCCTTCCCAGACCCAGTATGGCTATGAGACGTTCACTAATCCGCCTGTGCTTGAAGGCTCGTCAGTTCAGGGTGCTTCCAAGCGGACTCGAATGGAGGATGGAGCAGGCCAACCTGTGACTGGACAATTAGAGACTCAACAGGTCTCAGGGGTTACCCAACCAGGAGGACCATTCATGCAACCAGGACATATCCAAGGGAGTTGTGGAGTGTTTCACTCCAATCAGTCCGACTTTGCCTCTGGTAGTACTTTTTCTCCTCGTCAGGGTGGAGGGTCGTTTACTCAGGCGCCTCCTCTAAGTCAGCAAGCCTATTCGCAGCAGCAGTCTCTTGAGGGGGTTTTTAATACCCAATCTTTTCTTCCAGCAAACGATGCAGATACTTCTATGCCTTCACAAGTACAAGGTACTGGAGCACAGCCTCCGCCTGACAGTAGTACATCTGGCAGTACACGTCAACCACCAAAGCTTTCAGGTGAACTAGACACAGGCTCATTTCTTACCAACGACAAAGAAGCCACGTTACCCACATCTGAGCGTGGCCGAGGAGATGGAGGCCCTGCACCCTTGCCACAGGTTGGCATGTATGAACAGTGGGAGCACGTTGGCAGTGGAGGTCACTTATTCAACCAGGATGGTTAAGGAGAGCTGAGAACCCCGGCAGGGAAATGGGACACTCAGAGGTTAAGCGGAAGAGAGATGGATATGGTTGACTATTTTGAGCTTTATCTGCCCAAAGTACAAAGTAGCTGTAGGGTTCTTTTTCTTCTTCTTGTGTTGTGGGCGATTACCTGTTTGATTCTTGTACCTTTCATCTTTTCTGAACCCTTTTTAGTCATTGGAAGTGGCAGATCAAGTGAAGAAATCTGGAAGCAGATTCCTCTTTTCAAAAAGATAATTTTCTAAATTGTACATGTCCTGGGGGCACCAAACGCTGGCTAGCTATGTGAGACGCATTTACAAGAATTATGTAACCTGATATATGACAGCATCTTAGAGGCCCCCAAGTCTTCAATTCTCATAATGCGCAACGCAAATCCTCTCGAAGAGTTTGGTGAATTAGCAATTGATCCGTTTGTATTTCTACTATATAATCCAATCCAATCTTCGATGTTAATACAATTCCAAATAGACTCAAGACCACCACTGCATTCCATTCTACTAACAAGGGTGTTCAAGATCATCCACTATATCATGAACAGGACACCAACATCATTCATGTCCAAGTAGTAGTGAACCACGTAGCTCTGTGTTCAATAAGGATGGTTGACGTATGTTTTCTCCACAAGATTCTGTACCTGCCAACGTTACTGTCAGTACCAAGTAATTCTCTTGAGTCGCATCTTCTAGATTCGAAGAAGAAATTTTTGGTTACAGTTAAATCCCGATCCAATGATTCAAATTTTGTAAGACCGCATCAGTTACATGTCGGTGAGGAGGTTCAGCTCTGGAGATCTGTCACTTTTAAGGCTTCACATTTAGCTGTTTTCAGCGTCTTTTTCTGCACAGTTGTTGAGGATTCAAGAGCCACAACCCTGAACTCTTGAACCCCCCTTCAGCCACAAAGAGAGCAAACCAGGAAATTTGATCAATCGTGAAAGCTTGTGCATGAATGGGTCCTGGATTCGTGTACGTGATCGAAGCTGCTGTGTGTGCTGTGGTCGAATTTCTTTCCAAAAGCAGATCATCGTGCTGCATGGTACAACTCTCGATGAAACATGCTTGCAGGATAACTGGTAAAGATGACCCAGACTTGGTTGCCGGAGAGGGACGAATGACTTGCAGTTTCACTGAGATTGTGCGAAACTTTTCTTCTTCAGGTGGCTCGCAAGAGTCATCGAAAGTGATCCATGTAATGCACACCTAGCCAAAATGGGGTCGTTAAGCCCTCCATTTCTGAAAGCAACTGAGGTCACCCTCTTGCTCACTGGGTGTTGGTGGCTACCTCAGAAGAGGTCAGATATGAACCATACTAGTGGGGTCCTGCTTGGCTGACGTGAACCTTACAGTTGCTTTTGGTGGTGCTTTTATGGTGGAAGTTTCTGAGTGTCAAAGCAAGATGATAACTGGGGCTGGTAACTAAAAGTCTTGTCATGGTGGGAGCTCAGAAGTGGCTTTTCTGAGGTCAACTGTTGGTCAATGTAACCGCTCGAATTTAATGTATGGAACACGCAAGACCCTGAACATCCAAGTCTTTGTTCAGGCAGTGCAGAATCCTAGCCTGCTGATAAATGTCCGTTGAAAACAAGCAGGCAGATGCATTCAATAAGATCGAAGCTAGGAGCGGTGTCGCCACTGGGCATATTCCATTCAAGAGTTGAAAGGTCGTAGATTCATAGACAAGAAACATTGAGAATTAATCCAATTTCAATCCTTTCTATCTTGTCTAAGTGTACGGGAAGATGAGGAGTCTGTCTGCTAGTGGGATTCAGAAGCCCACATTAATTCACTAGAACCTTCAGCATCTCCACCCACATCAATATGCCCAGAGCAGTCACTTCGAAATTTTCCACAGCTGATTGTGAAAGTTGTCGATTGGAAAGCCTGCTCTGGATCTTTTGAAAGTTAATAATTGTCTCTTGAGTTGATCTCTTATCCGTGACTGAAGCTGTCACTAGTGGCTGCTGAGCGTGTCCGGACTGGCTTTTGAAAAAGTTAATTAAAGAAATTCAGTTGTTCCAGGATCCCGTGATGTTCTACAAAGAGTTCGCAAAAAATGTTGGCTGGTGTGCAGACGATGGATCGCGCATTCAAGTTGACAAAACACGAAAGAGTGTTGCGAAGCCATTTTGTCAGACGAAAAAAATGGCACTAAATGATAATGATCCTCCAATAGGGAGAAGTAATATGTAAAAAAATATTTTAATGTTTAATTCACCAATTCTGCACAAAACTACACTGAGAAGAAGCTTCTTATTTCTAAAAATAACGTAAACCCGGACTATATTCAAATAGATTCATGCTACAAGCTATGGGTTGATGACCTGGATTACTAAGACGACAAAAGAATTTCAATTCACTGCTACATTCTCAAGCCAACATACGGAGGGAAGATTGGTAGCTTGCAAACACACGTCTTCTGCGATCAACAACCTCCTTGGCTGGATTGGCACAGCACCTTCCCCGACACAGGCTTGATTCACATTACTTTCTTCAAGTAATCATTGCCCTACAGAAAAAAGGTTTGAAGGCTTCTGTATCTCCTTACAATTACGTCAAGCTAAGATTAACAGTAAACTCCTGGGGACCAATATAACAGCCTGACCTAGCATTAGCTGTTCTTCAGATTGATTGTCGAAAGCTCCGCTTCCACGTATTCACCGGCGTAAATTGGAGGGTACTTATTAGATGCAGCTTCCGTGGCGAAGTGACCAAGTGGTTTTAGAAGTGCGTCTGAAGCAATGTGAGCGAACATCTGCACCATACACAATACTTGAACTTTTATTTCCGCTTTTAACATCCTAGCTAAAAGATGTGCAGTTATCTGATTCAAATCTCTAGGGATATTTCATCTATACATTTCGATATTGAACCAATGCAACAGTCACAAATCGAGAAAAGCCGCATTCTCGAAGTCATAAGCTCTAAATAAGTATTCAATGGTGATGCTTACATTCTAATCAAAATGAAAGAGAAGAAACAACGAAACAAGCACTTACCGTTGAAGACACCCTCCAGAGACTCTTACCAGCCTTCTGCGACGCTTCAACAGCCTTTAGAGTGCTCGCACTCACAACTACTTCATGCATGCCTGCTGCGCATTCGCCACCTGTCAACCACTCCAACTGCTCCACAGCACACGCCTCACAATAGCAATAACAAGTTCAACTTAACTTTCATTGAAAGTAGGTGGTGTAATCCAGCATGCACTTATCCAAATCCACCAAATGGCCTAAACAGATATGGTATGTGGAATGAATTCCTTAAAACAAGGCCAGATTGCTAACCTTCAGTAAGCACAAACGATACTGCTATCCATCAATGAGAGCTCCGTAAAAGCAAGTGAAATACAGACCTGCTTGCCAGCTTGAAGTAGAAGACAACCTTCTGGAACTTTGACCGGGACTTTGCGTCCATCTTTGAGCCAGATGAAGAGTCCAGGAAATCGGCTGCGCCCATGAATAGTTAAGAAATTGAGGTCGTAATGGTAGCCCGCGAACACGTTGTTCAAATCAGCGTACTTGGATAAGTCACTTCCTGTTGGAGCTAGTAAATGGGGTCCCTGAAAAACAACCATCACGGCATCAATTTCATTTAAAACAAAAAATTCCTCAATCATCGTTTCAAAGTCGACGGAATGGACAGTAGAACCCACAAACAAACCCTGGATACCAAAGTACCTGCTTCATAAGAGAAGTGAATGCTGTCTTCGGGAGACCAAAGCCAATGGCAACCATCTCCGCGACAACCTACAACCAAGAGGTAAACAGGCTCAACACCATACCCCAAAAAATCACATTCAGTCGTACCTAAAAGTGTGTTATCACCGAATATCCTAAAAACTGTAGATCAAATGAGGCCCAATAGACAGTTTTAGAATTGCGGAATAAACATACCTCAACAGCGGCGATCATTTTGTGACCCCACCCATCCATGACATCCACCCATTCAGGAAGTCCTTCAGGTATGACAGGCTCGGCATTCAATTCCTGAAACACCACAACCAGATCAAAAAAGCATACTGCGCCGCCTTAGAAACAACCAATTCAACCAACAAGTCGAGATGCGCAGGCGAAATCGGACTCCCCGTGATGTACATTACACAGAATGGGTTCGACATGGAAACAACGAATTTTAGCAGCGTTAAGGACCTGAAACCGAGTTGTGGAAGGGCGCGGTCCGATGCGCCACATGTACCGCCATTTCCGATCGGGGCCAGCCGGTATGATAGGGCGGGCATGTTCAGGCAGGCTTTTCATATGCTCCTGCAACTTAAGGTCCACCGAACATCGAGGCACTTCAACACCTTCTGGAGTTACTCCTACCTGAATCAAAACACACCCTCAAAGTCACTAAAGAGCAATACCATCTCCAAATCAAAGAAAAAAACTTGATTACGAAAACACAAGCTCGCGACCTACAACCCACACCTGATAATGCAATTCAGGGCGCTCCTGCTTGAGCTTGAGGTCAGAAGCCTGGCCAAAATAGCGCTCCATCATGTCCAAGAACCGATCATTATCCTCAGTAGAGCAACAAGGATGACGAATGACAAGCGCTCCCGTTTCCCTCAAGCACGCGGCGACTCTGGCACAGCTCTCACGCAGCAGCACCAGCCCATCACCTTCGCCCAATTCCAACTGCGGAGACCCAATTTCTGCACCCCCACCGCCATTCTCCACGATCCCATTGTCGTATCCGTCCGAGAAGCTAATCGGCAGCTCACTCTCGCAACTCTGCGCTGCCCTCCACTTCAGAAACGGCTCCAAGTCTATCACTGGAAGCTCCATAGCTCCAACGCAACAACCCTCACAACACCACCACCACCACCAACACCATCACCAAACTGGATCCCTCCCCTGCGTCGCCCCTGCCTCCCACCACCTCCCAACACTGGCACCGAGTTTCGAAAACCCAATTCAGCAAACTAATCTCTGGTTAATAAAACAGGATGCGAGGGAAGCATCGAATGCACAATTATACAGTCTACGAATCCAATTCCATGGAAGTGTATCCAGCCAGCCAGAAAACGAAGGAGCTCCACACGCCGAGGCTTCGTCGCACCATCACGTCGTTGCTTCCCGACGACAACGACGCTCATCCTTCTCGTCCACGTTTCGTCGTCATCTGACCGTCAGTGATTAGTGATGCGTAAGGGGATCGACGTCCGTTGCCGTCACGATTCGTCGTTGCTTTCATCAATCTTCCGTCGTAACGTGTACTCATCCGTTGAGCCACGTCAGAGATGTGAGTTGCGCGGGAAAAGGGGGTTCCCGCGCTTTGTCATACATGAGACCGTGCCCATGTGTTGCACCCCTTCGTATTATGCTTTTAATGTCATGTTCAAATCTCGTTCCTTTCATCACAAAATGGATGGATGTATGTATGTATGCATGTATGCATGTACGTATGTATGAAATTAATTAAATCGCGTCTATTCTCATTATCTATTTTTGAAACAATGCAAATTGAACGAGTTATTCACTTAAGTATACATTTTACATTATATACGTATCAAATAAATTAATCAACCTTTGATGTTTTATGTCCGTCTCATTAATTTTCGAATAATGAAGAAGGCAGGTGATTATATGCATATATATATATATATATATATATATATATTAATTAGACCTTTTAGAAATTGTTACTAGTATTAGACTCTCTATGCCATTACATCTATTACAGTGATAAACTGTCAACCGACGAAGCATCTAAACAAGGTATTGTATTTTTAACAGGAGAAAAAGGTATATTCTAAATATTACGGTAAAAAAAATTAAAAAATAAAATAAAATAGAGACGTGGTTTACTTAATCCAGTATTTTGATGCTTTAAATTTCGCACTTAAACATTCATTGCATACTCATCATGGGTTGCTCAACTAGTACCATCAGCAGATCAAAACTACGATGATACATGATACTTCTACACATGTAAGTAGTATAAAAATTTATTTCGTGAAAAAATACAAATATTTTCTTAAACATTTATTGTTTAAAAAATCATATATAACTTATTTCTATCAAAGTGAAAATAAATCCCAATACAAATTGAGAAACTTATTTAAAATTGATCATATTTATGAATTCTAAGCAAGATGGTTTGAAAAAATCTGCAAAAAATTAGTGTATGTTAGTAATCAATCAATTAATCAAATACAAATCATGAACAATGACAATAATGCTTTTTGTACAAGTCTACTCAAAGAGTAGTTTACTTTAGCACTTTTTAAGAATTACATTTTTACTTTAATTTTTTCTAAGGTTGTAGGTATACACAATCTACAATATTTTTTTAACACATATTAAAAACTATATTAAACCAGGAAATGTCTACTTTAAGAATCATACAAAAATATTCATAAAACATTAACAGGTTATTTTATGTTTAATAATTTTCTTATAATATAATTAATCATTTAAAAAATATTAACATATCATTTTCAACATATCTCTGTGTCAAAAAATAAAATTGGCTTAAAAAAGAACTAACTCATTTAAGATTTGTATACTGATTTATTAGTTTGATTTTTTGGTTCCAATTTTAATTGTAAAATCTAATATGCAAATGTAATTCGTTTGGATCCTTGAAAATACAATATTTTATAAAAATATTCCTTAGAAAATGAACTTTAACTCTTATATAGTAAATATACATAACTTGTATAAATAACTTGACATTTGATGTTTAAATGTTAATAATAAAATAAAAAACACAATTTGAAATATAATTGAATTTTGTAATATACAACCTTGTTAAAGTCAACTTTGGATTATAATCAACCTATTTTGCTAGTCCCAATTTGCACAATCTACACTACAATACGTTATAAATTCAACAACTCTTTTTGGTCCCAAAAGGATGATTATAACAAGAACGAAGTATTTTAAAAATAGTAATCATAATTGTGGATTCTTCAATTATCATTTTTAATTAGAAGGTGATTATGTTGGGTGGTATTAACATTATGATTTTAAGTTCTGATTCACAAAAAACAGTAGAGATAAAACCTATATGAAACAATGTATCATTTTAAATTTAAATTTAAATTTACTTTATAATCTGAGATTGTTGTATGATCATAATTTCTTGATTAATCATGTTAACATATTATTCAAAAAATTATTCAGAGTATTTCTTTTGTATTTCAACACTCATACATTAATACTTAAAAATTACATAAACAGATGTTTACTAATTTATTCTACGAGGATAAATTGATAAACCATCACAAATTTTATTGCATAACTATGTACATTTTTTGGATGTTTAAATTTATTTAGTGAAAAAAACTTAAAATCTTATAAATTTAAAATACATTTTATGCATCCAAAAATCACTTAAAATTATATATACATATACATATCTTAAAAATATTTAATATGACCATATAAAATGTTTAGAACTTAAAAATTAAACTTCTGTTCATGCAAAATATGCAATAAAAAGATTGTAGACTTATACTTCATCTCATTGTTTATGAAATTGAATTTATAACTATATAGATGAAATAATTTTCAATGCAATAATAACTTCAGATATTTTTAAATAATGTAATGCATAACTTATACTCTTTAAAATAAATACCATGTAATAAAAAAATCAAAAATATTTGAATACAATAAATGAAGTCCTAGATATGGCATATCTTAATATATAAATTTATTTTTAGTATTAATTAAAACGAGTTGAAAAATAAGTATAAAAAATAATATGTTCTAAAAACATTATAATATTTTTTAAATGGATTTTTACCACAGAAGAACACGAAAATTTTGTAAAAGTTGTATTAAGAAGTAATTTAATGATAATTTTTTATATCTCTTAAAATAATAAGTGAACTGACATAAAAATGCGTTTTAATTTCACATAAAGAAACATATTTTATTATTATTATTATCTTTCAACATTATGATTCACAATTAAATCTACAAAGTTATAATTTAAAATCCTGATTTTGTAAGCAAATATTAAAATATGGAAAATTTAGATCAATTTCAAATTTTCAAATTTGGTTTTGACCTCATTGTAGCATTTTCTAAATTTGATTTCTCAACAAATAATAAAAAATATTTCATGTATATGTTACATTTGAATCAACTCTCTCTCTCTCTCTCTCTCTCTCTCTCTCTCTCTATAATAATTAAGTAAATAAATAAAAATTTGCAAAATTATCTAAGATATCAGTAATAACAGTCAGTAATTAATTTTAAAATAATAATTTTAATTTTAATTTTAATATATTTAAACTAAAATTGTACAACTAAATTTAAATTTTACCAAATATCAATTTTTTTTAAGTTAGTAAAATTTATTTTTTAAAAAACAATTAATATATGATGAATTTTAAAATTATATATGTATATATATAATTATAATATTTATGAATACAAAATTATTAGAGTTATGTCAGTCTTATTGACGTCCTATCTATGTTACTTCAAAAATTGTTCAAAGATTATACACAAATTAAATTTAATATCATTTATATAATTCTATTTCTTTATTTTAAGTAACATTACATTAAAAATTACAGTTTTATTATGCAACAAGATCAACTATTACATTCTAAATACCAATTATGCCAAGCTAAATCTTCTGTGTAATTAAAGCAAATACCAAAATTACACAGAAATTTATATTTTATATTTTTTTAATTGTATTTTTCTAATTGTCTTATTTTATATAATAAAAGCTAGTTTTTAAAATAAAAATAATGTTTATTTTATTCTAAGATTTTATATGTACTAACAATTTTAATATTAAATAGAGTTTTCATCTTTCTATATGTAATATAACTTTAAACATAAAGAATTTTTTTATTGTTTCATGTATAGTGTTTTAGTTGAATATTTTATCTCATATCAAATATATGAAATCCTATTGAAACCCTTTAAAAATTGTAAAGTGTTTTGTAAATATGTGAGATTCTTTCACATTGAAATGATTCTAATTCACATATTTAATGTAGTTTTTAAATTTAGGTTTATTATTTAAAATAAATAATTTTTAAAGAATTAATAATTTTGTTGTAATATCTAACAAAACAATGATTTATAATAATATAAGGAAGTAAATGTTTTTTAAAAATATGTTTTTTTTTTTTTTTTTTTTTTTTTGTGGATTATGTTTAGGTGCACTTGAAAAGCAAGGACAATAAGATTCAAATAGTGATAATAAATATATAATAGTAATTAATACTTGTAACTATTTTTTATTCAATCTATTTAAGCATCAGTTTTATCAAAGCTATTATTTAGAGATTATATGATATTTAAAATGAGAATAGTAATAATACTAGTGATTTAAAAAATTTATACATGTTAAAGGTGAAGTATAATGTTAATAATATAATTCAACTTAAGTATATAATAATATTTTTTTCCAAGCATTAAAATTGAGTGTTTTGATTGTATATTCTATTTAAATTTGAATGCAAACATATGACAAAATATGTATACAATTTTTAAATCACTAGTATTATTACTATTCAGAAATAATAATTCAGGTATAATAAACTATTACTATTCAGGTATAATAAACTCTAACCTTGTATTTATCCTCTTATTCAGAAATAATACTATTATAATGTTAATAATATAATTCAACTATAATGTTAATAATATAATCAAATAAGTGAAAGAAATAAGAGGATAAATACAAGGTTAGAGTTTATTATTTTGTAAAGTTGGGTGAGAATTTTATATTTAATATTACTATTTTGTAATCAGTTTTAATGTTAATTATTAGAGTTTTTTTTTTTTTTTTTTTTTTTTTTTTTTTTGTGTTAGGCTTGTACAAGATAAAATGAATTCTAAGTATTTTGACTTATTGGTTCTAATATTGTCTTGTTGATTTTGTCTTTTAAAGTCATACTATTCATATTTTAGATTAACTCTGTCAATATTTTATTTAAATTTAAGACACCTCTTATTTAAGAATTCTATTATAAAGGGTCCAGTTTCATATGTTTTTACAACAAATAAAATGATTTTATTTTACTTATATTTTTCTAATAAAATCATTGATAAATTCTTTCATATTTTCCTAGTAAACCATTTTATTTTGGTAAGATGCTAATATATGTATACTTACACATAAATATTGAAAGATTACTGATGTTTTTAAAATCAAATTAGATTTATTTTATTTTATTTTATTTTAAAATAAAAATAGCTAGTTACATTATGTACATATATATATATATATCAAAAAGTCAGAAATTTTTTTATGATTTTCTAAGAAAAAAATATTAACAATGCATTACTTTCACAAGTATCCTCTAATAAGATCCTTTAATATGTTAGGTTCATGTTAGTATATTTATTTATTTGCATCTGTAACGTCGTTTAAAACGATACACATTGAATTCTAATTTTGCCAAATCAGATTTTGTATCGGTTCTGTAGCGTAAAAAGAAGAATCAATCAGTTCAAATATGAGATATTTTCTTGTTCTTAAAGGGCGCTGGAACCCACAGCAATTGATTTAAGGTTAACGTCCAAAAAAATAAGGAATTTTAAATGAGTTCATTTGCACAAATACACAAAAAAAATGTTACATACTACATTCTACTACTTGCAACTTCACATCTATTTAATTCCGTTCAAAATGAGAGCTCACCACTCGACATCAGAAAGGGTTTGATTTTAGAGCCTGTTTTATCTGAGAATTCAAGGGCTGGTCACGGGAGACTCATCCGGGAATGGGCACATCTACACAGGTCACAAAATATTTTATTTCAAAACCATTTCAGCTCAAACTCAAAACAATTTCAAATACATCCCGTTTCAAAGTTGGTTGGGTTACTAAAGAGTACATCGAAATGCGTCGGAACTTCTATTGTAAGCATTCAGGCCAGCCACTCAAGGTTGTCTTGACTTAGAGATATTTCTAATATGATGGACAGTTTATTCCCAATCAATGTGTAAGAGCTAAGAAATTGTAATCGTAACTTGAGGTCAGCCTCCAAGGAGGTCCAACCGCCAGGAAACAACAGACTGAATGCACTTGAGGCCATCTTAGACAATGTCCTTGCGTAACTCCTCCTTTTCTAGTGGAGGCTGAGGAAAGAGGATGCTCAAGTGAGGCCGTTCAGCGTTAAAAGGAAGACGATAAAAAGAGTTCCCTCTTCCCGAAGACATTCCGAATCAAAAGGATACAAAATTTCCTCAACGATGCCAATTATTCAATGTTTATGAGCTAATATGCCCACATGAAAGCTGGCACTTCGTAACCACAAATGTTATGGATAAAGTAAAAGTAAGAACTGCTACAGAAAGAAAACATGGTCCCTCTGTAGGTTTCCCAGTCGACATTCCCACCACAGTCTAGACATAACCTTCAAAGCGCCTTGCAACGTAAGGAACTGTGTTATTTAACAATGCGTGTCTAGGCTTCATCTTCTTCAAACTACCACGAGGTCGTTGGGTCCGCCATGTTCTCTGAAGGGTTCCATTCAGGTTGGGGACAGGGGAAATTCACCACTGGTCCCAGAGAACAAATTGGTGTTATGCTGCTATGCTGAAAGAAGAACGAAACTGTAGAGTGAAAGAAACCTAAGAATTGTACCATGAAATATGTGGAGGTGTATCCCTCTAGATGTACATCAAAAGTGAAAATCCCTCTTGTGCTGCTTTTAAAAAACCGAACCCCACCGCCAACGCTGGGGTGCAACACCAATTGGCATCGTTGTAATTTAAACAATTCCTGTGCTCAAACATCTGCAGACCACACAGATGCTTCGTATATCAGCGTTAGGAACCTGGATATGTTAATGATAAAATTCTATTGTCAGATTAACGAAAACAAAACTCATTCACAGTTATATCCTAGAATTAAGACCATATCGTAGCCGCACGTGAAGTCCTTGCTTCCAGATACAAGGTACATCAAAAACGAGCAAAAAGCGTAGAAGGCAGACAACAAGGAAAGCACACTCACCAAGACGAGTACTTCGCATAGGAATGTCTTTCAATTCCCGTCGCATGCACAGCCACTCTCCAAGAAGAGCAGTGACCACCACACATAAGATGTACACAAACCACCATAAAAAGCTAGTCGGGAAGCCGTCGTAAAGAACACATAAAATGAGGTGAATAATGTACAGTGTCACAGTGAAATCTAGGCACTTCTTGGCCCTCTCTACCAATATAAACACATATGCCGCTCTGCATCACAAATCCAAAAAATCGCCAGTATAAACGATTAGATAGGAAGCGAAACAAACACATCGTCTTCCATGTACACTCCCGCCTTACGCATTTCCACGAACAAGGTTTCCGCCATTATGTTCACCAAGCTCAGTCATAAGAGTTGAGATCGAACAAGCATGTCGGGACATTGCAAAAATCCACAACCCTACACTTCCTTCACAGTTCATCGAAGAGCACACGCTAATCTAAACCCATGTGACATATACCTGCTCACCACAATAGACAGCAGGAAACCTCCACTGGGTATGCAACTCTCTCAGCTCTAGCGCATTCATTCGTTTGATTCACAAGGAATAAGCAGGATCCGTACCCGCACAAAGCGTTGACGACGTAAGCAGCGATGATGCTCCACCCGACAACCGAAGCCCCCGTGACTAAGGAATGGTTGAAGAAATACTTGAGCGTGAGTTCGGATACTTGCGTACCCACAAACGTCCACAAGAAAATTCCTAAACTCATGTAGTACAGTGACTGAATACATACTATCTGTGCAAGTATCAGCCAAGGATCCCATATCATGGCACCATAAAACATGGTACCCTACCCACTCTTTCCTTCAATTCCCTTCCTTCTCCCCTTCCACGCAGCAGAGCATACCCAGTGACGAAATCAAGCTGCGTCGTAAACCAGGTGCCCTATGACCATTCAGAAATCACAGTCCCAGCGCCAGCCTCCAGCCCTCCTTCCCGGCCGCACAAGCACATCGCTCGCAGACATACTATGCGGGAGACAATACTGAAGAAACCCTAAAAATATGAAACCTGAAAACCCCACAAAATCTTTTGTTCTCCTACCTCCTGGGATTCTCGCTCAACCTCTGTGGAAACGAACAAACTTCAGAACGACAAGAAAAAGCCAGTTTGCTCCGAGATTGCACCACGACCTCACTCTACTTAGCAGCACTTCCAAAGATGAAAGCTTGATTGTGCAAAGCTCACCGCGTAGACTTGGCAAACAATGAGCATCTCACGAGCACGACAAGTAGTGGAACAGCAAGCTGGCCACCGTGTGCTGGCCCCTATCGCCTTCGCCCTGACGCATTCTTCACCGCATTCAACAGGAATCGCGAGGCAACGGCCCTGCGAGCACTCTTCCTTCCGCACTCCCCTCTCCTGGACGAGCAAACTAGTTTGCATTTGCACAGTTTCACACCGCGTGGGTTTGGAAAACTTGTAGAAGAAAATTTTTGCACCGTTGGAGTCGCAGTCTCCAAATGGGTAGTAGGAGGTGGGCACAATAAAATAAAAAAAATTAACGACCAAAAATAGTCCACTCTTCTGGTAGGTCCTTGTAACACAAAAGGAAGTCATGGTAAAAAGTAAAAGTTCTAAAACATTTAAGTACAATATAATAAAGTTGAAACTGAAATTCAATATTAAGGTCATGCTCGTAGTGACTGTTTAAGTTGACACCCCACTTGATGTCACTTGTGAGACCGTAGGTCAACTATTGAAGAACAAGTCAACCCTTGTTTATCCCCTAATAAAAAAATTTGTAGAAGTGAAAATTACATTGTTATAATTGCACCTTTTGAAAATAGGGATAGATCCAATAAGAAAACGAGAGAAAAATCAACTTTTTCAAGAGGCTTTTATAACCTTCATCCTTAAATGTGGATACTAAGGTCAAGTTCAAAATTAATGTTAAATTTGGTATTTTACTTGACATCAATTGTAAGACAAAAATTTAACTATTAAACAAAAAAATAAATCTTTTTTGTATTTCAATCAAAGATTTTGTTTAAGAAAAAACTTGTATATTTGGAAGGTAGTTTTAAAAAATAGAACAAAGAGATGTGAGAGAAGAAAAGAAATACATAGAAGTAGGAGCACAATAAATTATTGAAAAATAAATAAATTCTTCATATGAAGATTTTATAATATTAAATCCTAAAATTATAAAATTCTAAAATATTTATTCTAAATCTTCTATTGTATAAATCTAAATCCTAAAATATCAGTCTTATTGTATTAGATTATATTATACTAGCAATTCAATAAACATAAGTAAAACATGTATTTATCTTAGTTTTTGCAATCACCTGCTAATATTGGTTCTTATTAAGATATATTGATCAAAAGAACAAAATTTTGAATAATCAAGCATATGAGATCTCTAATGGTATTTGTTTAAAGATTTAATTAATGTAAAATAAATATTTATTTAAAGGATTTTTTAATATATATATATATATATATATATATATATATATATTTATTGATCAATTCTATTATAAATATAAATTAGAACCTTAATTAAGAAAGAATGATTTTAAGCAAATAAGATTTTAAAGATATAAATGACTAAATAATCAAAAAATCAATACATTCTTATATGACTAAAAAATAATAAATATTCATTTAAAGATAGTTATAATATTGAAATTGGAATAACTATTGCCAAAGAAAAGAAGACTAGAGAGTATTGTAATAAGTCTAAAAATAAAAAAAAAACAAAGATAAGAGTAAAGAAGGCCTCATTCTTGTCTTATTCTTGCCTCAATATATTCTATCTAATTAAGGAGATATGTAGCAATGTTCTATAGGTCATATAACATGTGTTGAAGTTATAAGACATATTTCTAATTTGGAAGGCAAGTTTCCAACATTTGTGCCACATACTCAAATTTTACCAGAAGTGATTAATATGTGTAAGATGTGGCAAATTTTAAACACCACACTTCTCACACCTTGACAAATATAGGTTATTCTTTTTCTACTTCTACATAAGAACTATCCTTTTTCATATAGTAATTCTTTGATAATGATCATTTTTTCATCTTTATAGCATTAATATGAGTTTTTAGAGTTGAGATTAATGTCAATATTGTGGTTAAAATCTATCTCATGGTTGATAATTGTATTATCATGATGACTCTATTGAGACCAAAGTTTTTATCAAAGACAAGGTTGAATAATTCTTTTAAATTAGATAAATTCTATATTTATCTTAGACATCTTAGTTCTTTAATCTCTTCTTTTTGTGCCCTCACATATCCTATAACATCAAATTATTACCAAGTGAGTCTTTACTAAGATTGAAGTAGTCCATCGATGTAGTTTGCTTGAAGTAAGACTTTAGATTCTATTTATTGAGCCTTGTCTTGTAGTTATCTACTTGCATTATAACTCTATGGCCTTAATTCTAAAGCTTCTTCAATATTGAATTGAAAATCCAAAAGTCTTCATAAATCATTCTTTAAATTATTTTATGACTTAAAACTTAAAACTTATTTATGCATAAATAAAGTAGAGAGAAAGAATATAATAGAATGATAATTATAATTTTTATTATGACTCTTATTATAGTATTCATAATATAAGCTATTAGCTATTTTTAGATTATTTATAATAAAATATTTATTTTTATTTGATCTTAATAAATCTATTTTGTTTTTAACAACTTTAACTACCTAAGACTCCTTAACCACATTATTTTTTAAGACATATTTAACACATATGTAATTAATCACTTTTTTTATGTATACTAATTATTTATAATTCTATTTTTTAAAATCTTTTTATAACAATTCTTTTATATTAAGTCTATATTTTTTTGTTTTAATTCTTTATATTCCAAGTCTTTTCTAAATTATTTTATATAAGGAATATAAGATTTTTGATAATTGATTTTTAGAAATCAAAGTTAATAATTAAGAATTTAGAGTTAAGATTTTAAAATAATAATCTTAAGTTAAAAAATTTATAAGTCAAGTCTTCAATCTATTAAACCCACTACAAATACTTATAAAATCCAATCTATGTCTTTGAAGCTTTGAAGAAGCTTTTCTTCAAGATATCATCAAATTACGTATTTTTACTCATTCCTATTTATTTCAAAGTATCTTAGTAATTACTACTATTGATATGTATATTTGTGATAAAACACTAGGATGTTTAAAAAAATAATAGATTAAAAAAATACAATAATCAAGCACTTATTGTCAAAAATAAGTAGGCTTGGAAGCTATAAGACAAGCTAACTTAAGATATGAATTGACAAGTTTGAAGAGGCTTTAGTCTTATCTCTACTTGTTCTACTTATAAAACCAAAGGTTTGTTGTTTAAGTTTTTAACACTTTGCCACACAAGCTATTTAAAAGACTTATTGGCTATACTATAAGAAGTGTGCTAAAAAGCTTTTTATAAAGCTTGGCATTTGAGTTATTATAGAAGCTTCCTAAGAAGGTGCCTAATGTGATTAAATTTCTAAGCTATTCTAAAAACTTTTAAAAATAGCTACCAAATATAGCTTGATTTTTAAGTTATCAAATAAATACTTCTATGAAAAATTTAAAATATTCTTTAAAATATCTATTAAAATAATAAAGATTTTAAAAAAATTCTAAAATATTTTTTATTTTAAGTATTTGTGATATTGTTTCTTTTTATAGTAATAAGGTCTAAAAAAGAATATTGGTCATATGTAGATTTGTAAAAATTCAAACATCTATGAAAAAACTTTTATAATAAATGATGTTCTATAATATTTTCTGTATAGGTGAATAAGATCTTCTAACAAATAACCATGGCTAATTGTTCTTAGTGCTAGTAAACATAATTTTATATCTTAATTTAAATTAAAGTCTTTAAAAATTCTTTAAAATAAAACATCTTAACATCTAGGATCAATACTTTCAACTTGTAATACTATAATGATCTTTAAACATCTTTTGAAAAATTCTTATATCACATATTTTCATATCAAGGACATACTTGATATTTATATGGTTTAGCTTTGATTTAAAATACTGATAAAATGATGTTTATTTAATAGCTATTGTTGTGGATCCATCAAAGAAAGCTCAAATTAATATTAAAATCTAAATTTTTAAAGTTATTTTTGCTAGAAGCTATTATTTCCTTCTACTTAAAGATGCCTATGATGCTAATTTTACTAATCTATCATGTTTTGTCTTGTTTATGATTCTACAAAGTAAATAAAAGCCTATTTTATATAAAAGTATTAATAGAAGTTATTAATTTTATTACCTCTTCAATAATTATTTATATTTCTAATGTAATAATTTATCATATTTTAAAATAAGATCATCTATAGAAAAATATTAAAACTTGTGTGGTTTTTTATTTTTAGAAGGTTGCATTAGAAGTGATCTACAATTAGATGCTTGGATTACAAGATTTATAATTTCTAATAGCTTTGACAATATCTTCTTTGTAATTACTATATATAAAAGAAATATTGAGATTATCTTTAATATTTTCAATACTTATAATATTTTTGTTTATAATTCAAGACTCTCTAATCTCTTTGAATTTGATAGTTTTTATTTTAGTTCTTATATATTATAACTTTATTTTCTTTCTTTAATTATTATTTTTTAAAATGATATATGATTTTTTTTGGTTCTATTGTATTTTATATTATTAAAAATAAGATAAATAATAGCTTTATTTTTGCTTCCATAAATATTAGCTACCAAAAAAGTTTTGTAAAAGCTTTCTAAGGACCACAAAGATTGTGGCTTAAGCATTAAGTTATTTTTTTTTTTTATATATTTTCTAAAAAAAATAAAACTTATAAAAAATTTATATAAAATTAAATGACATATTTACATAATTTTAAATATATAATTTATATTTAAGAAACGTTTTTAAATTTTTATAAGGAAGATATCATCTACTTAATATATATAGAAGCATATAATGAAGTGTAAATAATTATCATGCCAACATTTTTAAAATTATAGAGACATAGATTTTTTTTAATATTAATAAAAGTATTTAAATTCATATTATTTTAATATATATATTTTAGACATATTTATTATAATTTTTAGTTTTTTTATTAAAATAAAAAATATTAAAAAAATTCTAAGTCAATTAATAAATATTGATATTCTATATATATATATATATATATATATATATATATCTAATAATAACCTTTTTTAATGACTTATTATATTTTTATATCATATTGAAAGCTACACATATTCAAATAATTATAGTGTATTATGTTACCTAATAGTTGATACTTACAACAACCAAACAAAACTAATTAATACATGTATGAATTTAGATGTTAAAATCTAATAAAAAAAGACAAATATTCAAGTAAGTATTTTATATTATAATAGAAGAATATATACAATTAAAAGTAATTCATAAAA